AACCCTTTAGAAACTCATGAAAGTCCTTTAATTTGGATTCATTTAATGCACTTCAAACAAACTCTAGTCTTAGAAGCTTCAAGTTATTTAAAACAATTCCCTTTAACAGCTTCAAATAATATGTCTGTTAGCATCATGAAACTTTCAGAAAAAGTGAAACTTCCAATGGATCTGACTCTGTGGCTTTTCTTCCACAGCATTTTCATTAATTCTTCTAATACTTCATTCCCTTTCCATTAAATTATTGGGTATTCTGTAAAGTTTGGACCTCTTCTTCCTCATATTCTGTTCCTTTTTGAGTTTAATGTTTTGAACAGTACAATTAATAATGGTTTTGTAATTCATAATACGGAAAAAGGAGTCAAGAAATCAGGTCTTACTTCGACATTTATTACAAATTTCCTTCATCACTTCAAACTAAACAAACTTCACTCAGTATCTCTGTGTCTGGTTCTTTATTTGTAAAAAAGAGTAAATATTTATTTGATTTTTTTACTGAATACTGTAAAAACTTGATCTTATTATGAAACAATATTGCACCTCCCTCTGGTGAGGAGAACTTAGGTGACAGCCTTGTCTCATGTAATTTTCTAGGCAGACATGTAATAACTTTACTGAGTAAAGAAGTTGTCTCATCAAACTGATTTAATATTCAAGATAATAGTTGATTCTGATTTCTTATTCACTGCATTCTGAAGGAATTAATAAATAAAAATTCAAATTCTTGTCTAATCAAATACAGAAATTAGTTTAACTTGTAAAGACACCTGGAAAGATCTTAAACACATCGCAAAACCCCTTTTGTTCCTAGCTACCTTTTAACAGAACTCAGAAGCAATAAGATACTGTACTGGTCTCCTAGAATACACACAAACTCTGAGGTTGCCAGGCAGATCATCTTAAATACTCTTAGAATATATATTAACAGATGAACAAAGAGAACTCTGGAGTGCCATACTGCTGTTCTCAGAGAATAGTGATTACCCTTTTAAAGTTTAATAAAAGTACATTAGAGGAAAAAACCCACATCCTTCATTTAATTTACAGACAGGTTTCCACTGAGGAAAATAGTGTGAAATGTGAATGAGAGGAAAAAAGAAAGAAAGTTTGTAGTAACCACATTTTTTCCCTAGTGTCAGTATACTCATACTGAAGGATAATACACAGATAGGATGGAAAGCATAATTCCTTGTACACCACAGTAGATACACTGTGGGTAGATGGTAACACAAGGCTAGTGAGTCAAGAATGGCTTCTTTAAACGTGTTCATACTACTGTTCCTTCTCAAACTGTTTTTGGCCTCTGGCCACTAGGTATTTAGCAAAACTTTTTTAGTCTAGAACTTCAAGAGACCTGTAATTTGAAGCAAATGCCATGGTCATTTTTAGGAACATTAGTATCTATCTACTCCTGTCTGTGGGCCTCAAATCCCAGTTAGGACAGTTGAGTGCAGTGCATATGTATTCTTTTATCAACCATTTGTAGTGACACAGTGTCCCTGTTAATTTTGGAATTACCTGTTGATATTTTTTTTTTAAGGTTTTATTTTTTTGGTTTTTTTTTTTACTCTTTGCTTTTTTAAAGCATTGTGTGTAGTATGGCAAAGTGTTTGTGAAATATATAAAGACTTTTCTCATTTTGCAAAGGAGAAAAATAAAAATGATTGTGGTAAGGGAGTACACGCTGGACTACAAAGCCATATAATTCTATAATTTTTGGAGGAGTGGAAATGTGGAGAACATCATGTAAAAACACCACGCTATCATTTAACTCCAAACTTTTAAAATCCAAAGGTCATTTAGTCTTTGTATAAAGAAATAAACAAAAATCTTGTGAGGTTTTATGGCAATAATTTTCAAGAACAAAACTTAAGGGAAATGTTTTATTACTTTTACATTTTTAGATTGTTGCTTGCTTACTTGCATCTCTATGTGGAAAAGCATGCGTGCATCTTTTGCTCCAATATCCCCTTCTGATATCTTTGCAGATCTTTAGTCTATGAATCACAGCCTGAAAAACACTACACTAAAGCAGAAATGGGCCTAACTTAAGTATAACACACGATCTTACTATCTGCAGACATTTGGCCTTCTCCTATTTTGTATTTTTACTGGAATTCTCATATTCATGTATTCCTGTGTTGCATTCTATCCAGCCTTGTGAGAAAGCACTGAACCTGCTTAAGAGATTTGGGCTACATTTCTGACTTTGCCTAATAATCTCATAAGCAAATATTTTAACCAACCAATGCCTCAGTTTTCTTAGTGTAGAATGAAATTGTGAGGTTAAATAATTAACTTTTTTTTTTCTTTCTCTTTTTTTTTTTTTTTTTTTTTTTTTTTTTTTTTGGTGAGGTAGGAGGATTCAAATGATCTTTGTGCTATTTTGAGTCTTTTGAGGAACATTCTTAATATTCTCCTAGTAATGAGAATATAACTTGCATGTCTTCTGGAATTAATGAGTACATGTAGCTCTCCTGAAAAAATAGCCATTTGTGAAATGGCTGTTCTTCGTTTACTCTGGAGACTCACAAATCTAAAAATTTTCAAGGTTAATCTAGGTTACTTTATAAGTTGCTGGTTTAGAAGAATTCATACAGTAGTTTGTTCGCTATCTCTTCACATGTACTTGTCAAGCCACATTCAAATGTCATACTTCTTATCCCCATTGCTAAAATGAAAGTATGTAACTCTTATATACTACAGTACAGTATATATTAGGTACTTACTACTATTTAAATGTAACATTTGAACTTTTCTTGACAGCTGCATCTGTAGTGGATTGCCCATTTCATTTAAGATTAGTGAACTTTTAAGGAAGTGATAAAGGTCTTTCCCTGGAGATGAATCAAACAACAGTTATCAAACCTAAAATAATTCTTCAAGCGTATTTGAAAGTTGTAGCCAGCACATTCCAGGAATGCTTTTACAGTGATTTTACAAGGATGATAATGAAGAACCTATCTTATGCTTTTGATTGTTTGGTCAATACTTCCTTTTTTGAGATCCAGTCAAACAAATGACAATATATAGGGAATATCTGAGAAAAGTTGTGGCCACTCTGGATTTGAGTAATACTTGAAGAACCTCCAACAGTATCAGTATTAAAGGAAATGTATCCAGACAGGCTGATCAGAAACTCGGCCCTTTAGTGTATGTATATGAAAGTCTCTGCTCTGATACTTTATAGGCATAATCTTATGTTTCTGTTAATAAGAAGTAGGATGGATATATTGAAACTGTACCTTTTGCTTAAAACAGAACTGATTAGTCTGGCTCAACAGAGAAAAATAAGAGGCAGAATGAGGTCCGGTTCTCTCTTCATGCAAGAAACATTTTTTTTTTTGCCAAAATTTTAGATGGGATAGCAGAATTTACTTTAAATCTCTATGGCCTTGTTGTTAAGACTGTTTACAGACTGACAGCCTGAAGATACTTTTCACTAAAGGAATGAATGGAATAGCTATTAAATTTAAAATTTTATTTTCTATATCAGCATCTTCAAATGTTTTCACAATCCCAGTGATCCAATATTAAAGATGATAGTATTTCAGGTGAAATGCTATCATGTGTGGTAGTTTGATGCACTTTTTTCAAACAATCTTTTGGTCTTTCCTATTGAGCTACTGCTCATACCCTAGAACATTCAGAACAGTTCAGATTCTTGAACACTTGTAGGACTACCTAGGATTTCTAGTATGTATCTCTATTATTCCTAATGTAGCCCAAGTTTTCAAGTTAATCTCCTGTAGAAGTACTGTCATGATAAACATACTATGAAATAATAGTTCTTGGTTTTAAGCTATTTAGTACCTCTAAAATTGCAGCATGTGAAGATGGTGGCCATGAAAACATTACTTTTTTAAAAGATTTTAACCCCCCAGCGAATTAACAACACAAAAACATTGCCTTTTTAATTTCTTGCATCACCCCTTACATCCCCTGTTTTGGCATGTTTTTAATCTTCCATGCCTGTCTCCCACTTCACAGCCCGGCAGAAGTAATTGTGGGTGTGCAGGGATTTGTACCTGACAACAAAAGGAGATGTAACGATATTGGATGACAAATGGATCAGACCTCCTAGGTGAACCAATGCTGTATGATTTGACTCGGACCTGAAGAAAAGAAGATTGGGATGGGGAGGAAAGAGAATCAGAGGAGGAAAGTCAGAATCTGGACTGGCCCTTCAAAGACATGGGTCTTTTTCATAAAACTTTGTAATTACTATTAATTTTGAAAATTATTCTTGTGCACTCAAAACGAGCACAAATTTAAGTATCACAGAATGTGTTTAAAAAACCCCAAGCCAGTCAGGATTAAATAAACAGAAGTTTTATCAAAGTGTAGATAAAAAGTTTCTTCAGGGTAAGGAGAAGCTCCATTGCACAACCGTCAGGAAATCAGGAAGGGTCTTGACAGGCAAGTGGGAAAAGTGGGTAAAATCATGAGGTATGTAGTGAGGTAACGAGTACGTGCAGGCTCTAGTGCTGGAGGGGCTGGTTTTGGCCTGGGCATCAGTCACCCAAGATGGAGAAGTGCTGCCTTACCTTGCCCTGGACACCTGGCAAGCTTTGTGGTGCCCTGTTTCCTGGGCAGGGGTTATCACCACACGGCATCGGCCTGTCAAAGGCCTTTCCAAACTCATTTCGGCTGAAAACGCCGAGATATTCCTGCAGCTCCCCTGCAGAAGTGCCCAGCTCAGGGCCCACCGCAGGCGCGGCGCCTGCCGGGAAGTGTAGTCCGGGGCCGCCTCGGGTGGCCGCCCGGGGGTCACGGCCTGCGCGTCC